GCACCTTGTCCTGGTGTTAACCCGGGATACCCTCTGCTTTTGCTCCCTCTCCTTGGCAACCCCACAGTCACCTGCTTCTGTTTTCAAGCCCCTCTATAGGCCTGCGCCTTACGACACAGAGAGGAGCTGCCCGCCTCCTTCACAGGATGCCCAAACCGGCCACCCCAAGTCCCCACCTACTGTCATCTCCCCGGCTCTGTTGACATTTTAGGAAAACTATCTCCATATAAAATGGCATTCAAAGATTAGGCAGAAATAAAGAAAAGAAATTGGTAAATGCTACCACAGCAAAGCAAAACCAAACCAAACTCAAACTGAAATCTCGAGGACTTGTGAAGCATCAAGTACAAGCTAAGTGAAAACGTGAAGAGTTTGTTTTAAAATGGCTTAAGAACTGCCCTGTTCTGGCTGCTAGTAAGAGGATTCTCCAGACTACGTTCATTTACCTCTATCATTTCTGATTTACCCCATCACTTAATATCGCACTGAATCAATCTGGATGATAAAGGTTACTTTCAAGTTGTCATTCTTTTTTCTTTTAGGTTTGACTCATGTTAACAAAAATGTGTTTATAAATGAGCTGCTTCAATTGGTTAATGGATGTGAAAAGAATTCTTAAAGAATAAAAGATGCTTTAAAAGATGTTAAATTATGATATGTAATTCAAACACTTTATAAGAAAATAAAAATGGAATTTTCTAATGTGCAAAGGTAACATCGTACACTGTTGTTTCTAACTATTTGTTCATGTACGCTTAGGTATTGTTCCTAATACAGTGGTAAAGGGGGAAAAGGCTACTTCCTTGTACATTAATAACTCATGAAGTGGGAAGTTATCTTTTATGTGAGTAAATAATTTTGGATTGTGCATACAGACTAAAATGTTTTATACCTATTTTATTTGGTAGATCATCCTCTTCTGTATCATCATTACATATTAACAGAATAGCTAAAATAAAGGTACGATTTCACATGGGAATTAGGAAGGCATTGAAAGTATATACTCCTGGACTTCCCTGATGGTGCAGTGGTTAAGAATCCGCCTGCCAATGCAGGGGACACGGGCTTGAGCCCTGGTCTGGGAAGATCCCATATGCCGCGGAACAACTAAGCCTGTGCACCACAACTACTGAGCCTGCGCTCTAGAGCCTGCAAGCCACAACTACTGAGCCCGTGTGCTACAACTACTGAGCCCATGTGCCACAACTGCTGAAGCCCTAGAGCCCATGCTCTGCAACGAGAAGACACAGCAATGAGAAGCCCGCGCACCGCAATGAAGAGCAGACCCTGCTTGCCTCAAATAGAGAAAGCCCGCGCGCAGCAACGAAGACCCAACGCAGCCAAAAATTTAAAAAAAATTTTTTAAAAATTAGAAAGTATATACTCCTTCTGAGCGGTCAAAATACTTTCTAAACAAATGCCGTCTATATTTTTAGCTATATGACTTGAGAATATACTGACTTTACTGACGTCTGAGGATTTCCATCATAGCCTATAATTTTGCAGAACCCTGTTGCATATCTCTTACCTCCAATAATTTTGTTCATTTCATTGTGCTTCATACATATAAGAAAAGTGTCATCTGCAAAAATGCAATTTTGTTTCTTCCTTCCTTGGATTTATAATACTATTGCTTATTTTATTCTTGAGTACATATGAAAGCATAACTAATGTTAAATTAGATCGTAACAGTAAATACTCTTATTTCTATTCAACACTTATTTTATCTGATTTTTAAGGAGGACAACTCAGGTATTTTTTCTAATTATAAAACTGGTTTTTAGTTTACATATTTATTTCTTTTACACTCATCCACTTTCAAAAAGCATTTGAGTCGGGCTTCCCTGGTGGCGCAGTGGTTGAGAGTCTGCCTGCCGATGCAGGGGACACGGGTTCATGCCCCGGTCTGGGAAGATCCCACATGTCGCAGAGTGGCTGGGCCCGTGAGCCATGGCCGCTGAGGCTGCGCGTCCGGAGCCTGTGCTCCGGGACGGGAGAGGCCACAACAGTGAGAGGCCCGCGCACCGCAGGAAAAAAAAAAGCATTTGAGTCAACTTACAATAAAACTGCTGGTCCAATAAAGAGAAAAACCAAAAGAGAAAGAAGAGAGGTTAAAATTATAAAGAAAAGGAAGAGAGAAAGAATGCTATTAAATAATCCTGGTTGAAGGTTGCTGAAGCAATTAAATATGAAATGTAGTTTAAAACTTCCCACACAACCAAGTCGGAGAAGGCCACATAAGGAATCTGATAGCTTTGTCTCCTGGAGGAAACCAACAGAGGCCGTTGCTGCTGCCATACTGCCCTGCCCCCCCATTCCCCAGCTGTTCTGAGCGCTGGGTGCTAATGGCTCATAGATGCGGAGCTGCCTCTACTACAAGGTGAGGGCACCAACTGTTCCGACTGACAGTGGTACAACAGCCGCCCCCTGCCTCAAGGGAGGACAAAACCTGTGGGGCAATTTGTGCCCCAGAGCTCCCCTTCAGACCTTATCCTGGGACCCCCGTGGGACCAGGCTGAAGCTACGTCTCCAGGCGAAACAATACCCTTGCTTAGCTTTTGCTCTGCCTTGGCCTGCTTCCCTCACTCCTTCTCTTCAGAGTCTCCTCAATACATCACTTTCCCAAAAATCCTTACCCCAATCTCTGCTTCTAGGAAGCCAGACCAAATACAAAAGAATATTAGTTAAGCAGAAAAATATTAGTCTTCTGACCTTATGTCCAAAGGATTTTCAAATACAGGGTAACAGACAGCAGAAGTCACAGCCTCAATATCAGATTCAAAAAACACAAAAGCATGAAAAATGGCTGTTTCTTATGTGGACCCATCCATTTACTAAGCTTATTTGACCAGAGGTCGAGGCCTCAATAGCTGGGGGCTCGTAGCGGAAAGCTTCTAAAATGCTGTTCTCAAAGGTCATGCGTGGATGCCCCAAAGTGCTGACCTTTTCTTTATGTCACAGGTGTAGCATCATTAATTCATCTAAGATTGTATTGACACAATTTATGCTTTAAATCTGTACCATGTTTGGGAGTTACTTGCTCCATGTGCCATACTTCTAAATAGGCAAAACTATATATAAATTATATGTATGTTTTAAAAGTTATAATCCACATTATTATATCAGGATATAACAACTTAGTCCATAAATATTTGTTTATAACCATAACAGTAAGATCTACCTTTCACTGACTGCCTTCCTGTGTGAGATACTCCTGTTAGGCACTGTATATTGATTATTTCTATTCCTCACCAACAATCCTTCAAGGGTGGCATTATTGCCCCAATCTGATGTATTATTAACTTATCAGCTTATTAACATGACCAAGTTCTCATAACTAGGAGCGCTGGAATTCCAGGAGGTCCAGCTGACTTCAAAGTACTTCTAGTTCTTCCACTGCTGTGCACTGCCTCTGTTTTATCAATCAGAAGAGCCTGTTGCAATTCTCAGATTGTATCTAAGTGACTTTTCTACTAGGTTGGGGTACAGGACAGTGGTGTGGGAAGGATGTTAAATCACCAGACCCACGACCACAATTTATAAAAGAAAAAAGATGACATAGAATTTTGAGGGACTAGCTAATGGCTCAGGATTTCTCACACTTGAGTATGGCTGTCCCTCAGTATCTGTGGGGGATAAATCAGAGGACACTCAAGTCCCTTATATAATGTGGCATAGCATTTGCACAGAACCTACACACATCCTCCCGTATACTTTCAATCATCTCTAGATTACTTATAATACCTAATACAATGTAAATGGTATGTAAATAAATAGTTGTCCTATATTTGGCAAATTCAAGTTTTGCTTTTTGGAACATCCTGGAATTTGTTTTTCTTGACTATTTTTAATCTGGGTGTTGGCTGAATCCACCAATGTGGAACCCGTGGATACGGAGGGCCGACTGTAATGTGCAGACTAGTTGAAATAAAAATTACTGTGGAACCCCAGAAATATATGAATTCTCAGGGGTCTTCAGATGTCAGCTTGGGAAACTTCAGAAACAAGTCTTACGTTCTCATGGAAGCATTTTTCAACTGTGAATTTGCACTGGAAAAGAGACATTTTGTTTTCTAATTGGTAAAATAATTTTATGAACTCAACAGTGAAATTAAAATACAAAATTTAAAGAATTCTAACTTAAAAATCCATATAGGGCTTCCCTGGTGGCGCAGTGGTTGAGAGTCCGCCTGCTGATGCAGGGGACACGGGTTCATGCCCCGGTCTGGGAAGATCCCACATGCCGCGGAGCGGCTGGGCCCGTGAGCCATGGCCACTGAGCCTGTGCGTCCGGAGCCTGTGCTCCGCAACGGGAGAGGCCACAACAGTGAGAGGCTTGTGTACCGCAAAAAAAAAAAATCCATATACTACAAACTCTAGTAGTTTAAGAAACATTAGAGTAGACCAGTTAGTCTAATTTTAAGAACCTAAGAGGCTGTGTTTTCTGTAAATAGAAAAGAATTTGGGGTT